ATTATTAAAGGGACGACAACATTACTGAATTTTGGGGGACTGGTGAAGTCGACTCAGGGGACTTAGCAAGCAAGGTCATAGAGTCATAAGTACCCGAACTGGGGCTCTAAGTAATGATGACTGTTATAGTCGCCGTACTTCTAGTCGCCGGTACGACCGGTAGGAGTACGGCCCATTTCTGCTTTGACCACACGCAGATTTAAGTGTCGCCTTTGGCCGCGGACTTCAATGATTTTTGACTGGTGCTGCTACTGTGACTGTCTCATGACTGCTGTTTGTGTCATTGTCTCCCCAAGCCGATCTCCCTTAACCTTAAAGCCTAAAGCCGAAGCCCCTAAGCCGTTATCCCGAAACCCCAAGCCCGGACAGACACAAACGAAGCAAAAAGACCAAAGATCCCCAAAGGAGCATTGGCCTCTCGAGGCTCTCCTTAGCAATGACATCTGCTACGCATGCATTGTGTGTTCTAGACCCCCAAACCCTAAACTAACGAAGCTCCCAACCCTCCCCACACACCAGAGCCCAAGCCCTCAAGCCCAAGCCCAAAGATGCCCCGAGCTGGAAGAGACAAGCTTGCGTTCTGTCTGTCGCTTCGGGGCGGAACCCCAAAATCACAAGTTCACGGTGTGTTTCTTAGAATGATTCCGGCTCTGATTCTGTACACTGCCCACGTGCTTTCGGCCGAGATTAGCGGACGTGCTCCAGCCATCTGGCCATACCTATAGAGCATTGCAACCGAGCTGCACCAGTTTGGGGCTTGGGGGTCGCCGGAGTGGGCGTGGGGTTGGGAGTTTAATCAGGGTTCCGTAGGGCCGTAGGGTTCTACATAAGGAAGATTCCCTACACCCTAAACCCTAAACCCTAAACCCGGGATCCCTTGTTCAGTTTTCACGTCGGAGTTTGGAGGGTTCGGGCCTGGAGCGGCTTAGGATTTTGCGAGTCTCGGGATTGTGTGGGAGTTTCGGTCAAAGGTTGTGGGCAATTTGTTCCGAAAACCTAAAGTTCCTGAAGCCTCAACTCTGAACCTTAAACCCTAGTTCCTAAACTCCTCAGGCCTATAAGCCCTAAGCCCTGAGCCCTAAACCCTAAACTTCCCCTTAACTCCAAACCCCTAAGGCGAGTTTAGGATTCGCCACTTAGTGCAGAAGGGGTGCTTGATACATGCCCTGCTCGACTCGACCCGATCGATACCGACTTGATCGATTCGACTTCCTGCGATCTGTTGCGATTTACCGATCCGGGGGTTGATCCTACATCCATGGAGTGATAGCCCTGCAGAGCTGTGAACCAGAAATCTTGCCACTTGGGTTTGGGAGTTTAGGGTTTCGGGGTTTGGGGTTCAGGGTTTAGGGTTCAGGGAGGCGCAGGGCAGCACCGCAGCCCCCATGCTCCCTCGCCAGCACTACAGTAGAACACAGAAATTTGGAGCATCATTATCCTCATGTCCTTAGGGTTTAAAGTATCGAAAGCCCTGCAACCTGCAGTGGCCCTCAAAGGGCTCAGGGTTTGGGTCCCAGGTTGGACCCTACACCCTCAACCCTAAGCGTTGAAGCTTTGAAGGTCGATATTTTCAGTTAGGGTTTTGGAGTTGAGGCGACCTGGATGCTAGATGCTTGGATCCGGTCCGCATCTGTTGTTGAGGTGAGCCTTGTCTGGGGTCCCAGGTGATTGACGGTGCGTCTGAGGGCAAAGCTAAATCGGCTCCCCGGTGGCTTCGGAAATAGAGGTTGGCGAGTAATAGTGTCAGGAAGGGCCTTGCGTTTGAGATGGTGTCTGTGGTTCAGGATCAAGGTGTAGCTTAACGATGCAAAGTCGTCACATGGCCCGTCGCAGATGCGGCGTGTGGCAATTCTCAGAGACCGTCCTCTTGCGCAACCACCAGGGATACATTGAAGATGCTTCAATTCAAGTAGGATGCATAGTAGGAAGTCGGTGAGTGTATATAGGGCTCGGTAGAAGTTTAGGGATTTAGGGTTGAGAATTTGGGTTACTGAGAATGTCAAATGTGAATCTCTACGCTGAACCTCAAATGACCCGCGAAGCTGTGCAGCTGCTGCAAGACCCTACTTAGGTCCCACAGCTAGGGGCTTGAGGAAAGGACCCTAAACCGTAAGCCCTACACCCCTCACCCCCCCTCAAAGCAAAACCCCCATGGCAGTCTGTTGGGAACTTGCTCGCGCGTCCGCGGAGATGAAGTGTCACCCAGGTTCTGGCTCTTAGGGTGTTGGGGCTCGAGTATGTGAGAGACTTAGGCAAACCCTTAACTTCAACCCAAGCTCTAAACTGTAAGGAGACTCTCAGACTATAAACCCCAAGCGCTCCGTTCTACGCCTTCGATTCTACGCCATACGCTTTCATTCGCATTCTGTTCTAGGGCCTTTGTACCATGGAACCCCCGTAGCAACCCTTAGAGCAACCAGCCCCGCCCCCCCTCAAACAAAAAAGAATCTCCCTTTCCTCATAATTATGGCCTTAAACTATACAAACTGCTGCAAGATCCTTGATGGCAGCCCCTCTAGCACCTTTACCCCTTTTAAAGTACCCCTTTAAGGAACCCCTTTATAAAGGAGCCCCTTTGAAGGAACCCCCTTTTTCGAAGCAGCGAGGCCCCGAGGCCCGAAGGTTCGAGCCGCTGAGATCAAAGCAAAGCACTGGCAAAGCCAGTTTCGAGCACTTTGACGCCGGGGTTAGAGGAGGAAAAAAGCGTTCAAAAGCTGGGTTTAGGGGTTTAGGGGTTTGGGGCTTGGAGTTTGGGGTGTTCGGGGTGTAGGCTTTTGGGGACGGGGCTGAGCTTGGATGAAGGCTGTGTGCGACTTGATCAGCTTCATACGGTCTTTAGACCAGTCCTCCGGCAACGCAGGTGCCGAGGTGGGCATAGGAGCTTTTGTTGGACAAAGTGCTTGATGCAGTTCGGGTTCTTGAGCTTTGAATTAAGGAGGACTGGGCTTTAGGGCGGTGCGGTTTATGGACACTTGGGAGTTCACACGGCCCCCCCCTAACCACACTTGGCTTTGGGATTCGGGGCTCGGTCTCCGGGATTTCGGCAAATCCATGGGTCACACCTGGTGCCAGACCTCTCTACGCCGTTTGAAGGCATGGGATTGACGAACCATCAACGCCATACGGCCAGTCACAGCGTCGACACACCCTCCCCTAACCCCCAAAACCCTAAAACTCAAACCCCATTCCCCCCCCCCCAGCCCTAAACTCGAGCTTTGAATCCTAGACTTTCCAAATGCACGAGCCCCTTCGCAGGGAACCCAGGCTCTTGTCAACTCCGAGGACCATTTCGCCACCCGGCTTTTGGCTGGCTTTGTGGTTTCAATCTGGATTTGCTGGGGCATCGCTTTATCACCTCAGGATTCAATTTCGTCTTTTTCAGATTTGAGTTTCAGGCCGCGGAGTAAAGTAAGGGATACCTTCAGTTTCAAGGTTTAGGGCGGTATAAGCAAGTTCACAGATATGGATTTCAGATTTCGGGTTGAGGGTGTACGGCTCAGGGTTGAGTGTGCTGATTGGTTGGGCACTACCAGCGCCGCCTTAGCTGCTACCACTTCCACCGCCCTTGCCCTTGTTGCACAATGGCGATCATCGTTGTCTGTGCCTGTGTTTCTGCCATGCTACATTCGCAGCTGTTTTTGGGATGTTCGTGACTTGTTTGCAGCATGCACATATGTTCGAGCCGCTTTTCGGTGTCACAGGGTGATGGGGACACGGCTGGATCAGATTGTCGCCAATGGAACACGAGTACAGTGGTGAAGGACAGCCCCTGCAGACCGAAGGCCCCATGAACCCGCAACACCCGCACACCTCAGCGCCCCTAAGCCCTGAACCCCAAACCATAAATCTTGGATCCCGAGCACCTCGAAATCCTAAACCCTAAACCCTCCACCCTAAATCCTAAACCCTTCACCCCAAACCCTAAACCCTCCACCCTAAACCCGAAACCCGAAACCCCAAGCCCTGAACCCCGAGCCCCTATGCAGAAGTTGAAGTCTCCTGAGGTCCTGGAACTGAGCCCCGGGCGTGTTTGAAGAGACTGTGGATTGCAGAGTCCAGTGCAGCAGTTCAGGGTTTAGGGCTTAGAGTAATAGGTTTAGGATGTGGGTTTAGGGGAACAGGTGCTCAGGATTATGCCTTTGATGAGTGAGGCATTGCGACCTTGTATCAAGCTCCCGTTTCATCCAGTGAAGCCAGGCATGTCTATTGCCACACCGGAGACGGGAAGCCGGCGCCGGACCACCCTATCGACGAGCAGGGTCCCTGAAGTCTCGGGTTTAGGCCGATGCTATGAGTAGAAGGTGTTTGACTATGCCAGATACGCGTGTTGTCCAGGACCATGTCGCAGCGCGAACGCTTAAGTCCCGGAATCTTAAACCCTTTGAACTTTAAACCTTAAAATTAACCCTGAAGCCCGACTTACAGACCCAGAAGTACGCCGTGAAGTCTGGAAATCGGAGAAAGCCTTGAATTCCTCAAAGCACTCCTCCTATTCCCAAAGCTTCGGGGTTCTCCAGACCCAAAGCCCCAACACCCCGTTTGAATCCTTAGCCTTAGACCGTAAACCACAAAGCTCAAGCCATGAACCTACGTAATACCTTCTAAAGTAGCCTCTACAAGCTTTAATGTTTGCGGGCTGCGATATAAAGAATGGGATCCGCGCTCTCGCAAGGCTCTCATCCCTTCAAAGGGCCAAACCCAAGGCGGTGCAGCTTTGGGTGCAGAACTGGAATATTGTCACTTGGACACAGATTTCCAAGCCTGCAGACATCCCTGAACCCTAAGCCGAGCTGCTGGATGGGAGAGCAGTTGCCAAAGTCGCCTTTGAGGTAGCTACATGAGAAGCATCGCGGCGTCGTCCTTGCTGCAAAGCCAGCCCAGGTTGGTCACAAGGAGCCATCGAAAAAGTGCATGCAGACCGCTTGAACTTGCTTGCCGCCGCTCTCGCCAAGATGGAGGACGATGTCGCCTTCATTTTCGCCTCGTAAGGAAATTGGGCAAGTAAGACGTCAAGCCCAAGGATCTGCAATCCCCAAGCATAATCTACAAACAGCCCAAAGACCAGACCCAAATTGAATCCTAAACCCAAAGCCCCTCGATGAAGGGTCGGAATCCGGGTTTGTACTAGGTATTCTTTGGGTTGTCCCTGGCGAGGCACTGACAAAAGCTCATCCTTCTCGCAACAGCAGTTTTTTCGTGTGAGAGAAGAAGCCCACGAAAACACACCGAAACCCTCAACCCATTTACTCTTAAAGGCCCTTATCCAGCCCCTCAGATGCCAATGGAATCCTGAAGTCCTCGACGCTTTGCCAAGGTCCCGAGGGCCAGGGCGATTCCGAAATGGATCGGCTCTCAGACTCGTAGATGTTAAGGTTTAGGGGCAACCTGGACCCTGAATGACCTACCTTTTTACGGACTTATATAGATGGAAATCAAAATAGAGGTAGGTTGTTTGGGGTCCAGGTACCTAAGGGTTCATGAAAAACGGAGTTTCGCCCTAAACCCTAAACCCTCTTCAAGGCTTCCGGGTTTTTTCAATTTGCGGTCGGCTTCGAGGCTTTTGGTTTGCACAGTTTGGGCTTCTAGGCTCGGGCTCCTGAGGTCCTAGGGATGTAGTAGATGTATGATGCAGACTCGGTTTGCCCGTGGAGAGGGACTTGTGCATCATGTGGCCCTAGGGTTTTAGGGGGTTGAAGTTTAGGGCTTCGGGCTTGGGAGGCTAAGGTTCAGACTTTAGGAGTTGAGGGTTTCAGGAGTTGAGTGAGGGTTTAGGAGTTGAGGGTTTAGGAGTTGAGGATTTAGGAGGAGTTTAGGACTTAGGAGTTTAGGGTTTAGGGTCTGGGAGTTTAACGCTTAGGGTTCAGGGATGGGAGCGTAAGGTCAGAGTTTTAGGGCCTGACTCCAAGAACGAAGTTTGGACGCCTTGTAAGGAAGACTGAAGAACAAGCAATGTCCCATGTCCTGTAGTAGGTCCAACAAGTAATACCCTTTCACCCGTAACCCTATGTCCCGTAGCAGGGCCGAAAACCAAGCCAATGCTATTTTGGGGGTTCCTTATAAAAAAAGTATAGTATAACTTACCTCCCAAACCCGATTCTAATTATTAAGGCCCCTACACCCTAAACCCTTATAGTAGCCCTTATAGAGCCCTTAAAGGAACCCTGTCCTGTTGTAGGGGCCGAGAACCAAGTAAAAACATCCGAGGAGTTGGCACTTGAGCTGGTGAATCATGTCCGGCCTTGGGCTTAGAGGGCCCAGGGTTCGACACATCCGATCCTTCGTAGCAGAGTAGGTGACCTCTAACCTTTTTGGGGTTTAGGGTTTCGGGTTTCGGGCATCCGATCCTAAGTAGTAGAGTAGGTTTACGTAGGGTTTCGGGTTTAGGGCTTACAGTTTTTAGGGTTTATAGGGCTTGGTAGTTTAGTAGAGGCAACCTGTAACCGCAATATATTCCCAAAGGCTAAGCTTTAGCTCCCCGGGATACTGGACAAGGAGGTCATGAGCCACTTAAGGGTTTGGTGTTCACGGTTCGGGGTATAGGGTTTCGGGTCCTTCCAAAGGAAAGATCTATACTGGAATGTATTATAGGGGCCCTAATACTGAGAAGAGGGTTTGGGGCAGATTATACTATAATAATAATAATAATAACAAGGAACCCCCAGAACCCTATTCTAATTATTAAGGCCCTTATATTACACTTTGGTTCGGGTTTCGTTGGTTTAGGGGCTGCCTAAGTTCAATGGGGCCAGGCCGTGTGCCCAAGAAGAGAGACCCTAAACCCTTAAACCCTAAACCCTTAAAGCCTAAACCCTTAAAGCCTAAACCCTTAAAGCCTAAACCCTTAAAGCCCTAAACCCTAAACCCTAAAGAACATCCTCTAGCCGGTCTCGTCCGCGCTCCTTGAGTTGCTGCGTTTGGGGCCTCAGCGGGACTTCGATTCTCGGGGGCCGTGTGGGGGTTTTAGGGTTCATATAGGTGCCTTAATAATTACCTATGCTAAATGGGGTTTCTTATTATAAATACAGAAAATTGGGCCCCAAAACCCTATTCTAATTATTAAGGCCCCTACATTGAAGGGTTTCGGGTGGCGCGACGATGTTGTAAGGCCTGAAGTTGCCGACCGCCTCCTGCAGAGGCTTTCCGATTTTCGGAACGGGCTTCACGGAATTCAGATTGTCTCGTGTGATCGGTCTTTGAGCGTTTCTTTGTAGATTCCACTGTCCTGTCTTTTCCAGTCTTGCATTGCCGCCTTTTTTCTTCAAGTTTGGACAAGTCTAATTCGGGTCGCAGTGTTTGGGAGTACGAGCTTGCAGCTATGGGCTTCAAGCAAGCCTTGCTACATGGAAGCAAAACGACTTTCGCTTCGCAAGCTCTTTGCTCTCTTACTGTTGCTTCGAGTTGTGACACGGGTGTGGTAACCTCCGCCCGCTTCGGCCGGGGCCGAGGCCAATATAGCTATGCCGTATTATGCCCCCCAAAACCCCATCCCGATATACAACCCTTACAGAACCCTGATCGGCCCGTGTAAAAGGGGACGCCTTCAACCCTGGACCCTAAACCCTAAACCCTGCCCTAAGGAAGAAAACGGATCGGAGTTCAGGCCTAAACCCTAAAAGGAATAGGTTGGGTGGATTGGCCTTATACGGCGTGGGGTGGGAGGGTTAAAGAAGGAAAAGCCTGCTATAGACAGGCTTTGACAGCTCATCGCCATAGTACGATGCACTCGACACAACCTTGCCACAAGATACATCGCCTACGCATTATTTCACGACAAAACCCTAAACCCAAGACCCTAGACCCAAAATGGTTAAGGCCTCTATAGCAGCGGGCATGGTCGCAGGCTTCGGGGGGCAGAGACAGCCAGGCAACTTGCGGAGGCCTGCAGGGTGTTCTCAGGGAGCTTTAGGGTGGTAGGGTCTAGGTCTTAAGGGCTCAGGGTTCGGGCTTGGAGCTTTTAGCGGCGATTCTAGCTGTGCCCTCCGTTGCAGAGGTTGAAACGACCTGACTATGACAGTTGACTCGGTTCAGATTTTATTGCACGAGCTGAAGCATGCTGATGACACCCTCTGACAGGGGAGCTACGAGCAAAAGTTGTTCGTAGTAGTAGTAGTAGTAGTA